AAAAAAAAAAAAAAAAAAAAAAAAAAATTCAGCAAAAATTTGACTACTCTAGAAAGCCTCCTATCGGATCTGATTCTAATCACATATTTATTATTTGATGTTCCCTTGACAGTTAAATAATCAGCTTATTCTCAATGTATTTATTTTGATTCATTGACAAATTGCTTTATAAAAATGATTTTTGAGAGTTTCATAATGTTTTTCAAGGTTAGATAATATACTTAAATATATAAAATGTCTTTTTAAAAAATCCCTCCTCCCCACAATCTTCTGCACAAATATATAGGTGAAGTAAAAACACATAGAAAAACACACACAGATATAGATCACATATGTAGATACAAATAAAAAAACAAAACCCACTGGCATAAACATACCCATAGCTTTCTAGATAATCTGCTAACATCAACATGCAAGGACATGTGCACACAGGCCTAAATATGGAAGAGATAAAGAGAAGGCAGAGAGGAGACAGAGATGAAGAGACAGAGAGAACCCTAAAATTCGTCCCTAAAGTCCACCTATTAGTACTTTACCCAATTGCCCAGCTATATACATACTTACTTTCACAAAATAAAGATTCCATTATAAAATTGTTGGAGTCTTGGGCCTGAGGCAAGAAATCCGGAACACACCCTCCTGAGGGATCCCTCTCCAGCTTTGGTCAGTGGGAAGAAAACAACCACTCAGGACTTTGGGACCATTTCCCATTCATATCCTCTCCTAAAGTCCCACTTCCCCCATTCTTCCCATCAAAACCTGAGGATATTTGTTCACTATCTACGGAAAAAGCCTTATGACTTGAATCCGAGTTTTCCCAGCTAGGGCTCTTTAGGTGAGCCATGGTTACCTAAAAAAAATCCCCAAATTGGAACCACACACATATCATGAAGTGAGCACCTCAGGGTTGTGAGTTGAGACTTGTAGACTCAGAGCCAGTTTTAAAATATGTCCTTTCAACTAAGTGTAGGATTTACTAAGCTTAGAATGACTGAAAAGGGTATCTCATTCCCTTTCAAATATTAGTGCTGACTTGCCCTAAATCACTGGATGTCAGTTATCAGGGAGGAACAGGGCTCTGGCCCTTGGGCCTTGACCCTGAACAGATAAGTGAGCTTGCTGGAAATCCATTGCTAGTCCCAGTGTACTAGGCTAAGGCTGCCTGTTGGGGCTCCCTACATGGGGGAAAATGTCTCAAAAGAGATACTTGTAAACATTAAGGGGAAGCATCTTTTGTGGCTTTCCCAGCAAAGGTGTGGAGATAGGAGGAAGAGCATGAGCCTCTAGAGTTGCACCAGGAATTCAAGAGGCCCTTTGACGTTGTTGCCCTCCCTCAGTTTAAGTTAAGAGGGAAAAATAGGCTGAAGCCTACTTTAATGGGGCTGATACACAAAAATGAATCTGTTGCAGGGGTCAGAAAGTCTTTCTTGGGCCCCAGGGATTTTGAATTTCTAGCCAGGGGGTGAAGGGGACTACAGTAAGACTTAGGAAGTTCAACAGTTCCTCTCTCAGCCCCAGAAAACCCAGTGAGGGAATTTCAAATGTCTGGGACTCCCAAGAAATCCCAGATTGTCAAAGCCAGATATTAAGGCTGCTCTTAGGTTGCAGACAAATTTTCTTGGTCAAAGTCATCATAGATTGGCCGAACCCCCAGAGGGCAAAGCCAAATCATGAGGTTCACGTCAGAGGAACTGGGAGGTAGGCAAAGCGCAGAAAAACAGCAGGGAAAGAAAGGAACTGGTAACCAGCCCACAAGCTAAATGTGTTTCACATGTTGAAGCTAGTCCTCAGCTCTTGCTCCCCTTCCTCGATTCCTTCAAATAGTAGCTACTTCTAGGCAATAGCCACGAGCTTGAAGAACCTGCACACTTCTCTGCAAGGGACCTTATAACTGCTTTCCCTTTTTTGACCATGGGCTCCAGGGTGGCAGGATGCTAACCTGCTAGTAGGGAATAGTGAGTGTAAGAGCAAAGAGAGACGCCCATCCTCAGCTCTATTATGGGGAAGACGCTGAGGACCCTCAGATCTCTGCTCCAGGCTGAGATTATCTGCTGCCAAGGCTCCTGTTTCTTACCTTGCTTCTCTCTTCTCCCATTCCCACCCAGGCCTGTCTCGGCATTTCACCCCAGTCAGCTCTGCCTCTATCTCCAAGGCCTAATCAAGATGTCACCATAAGCTCCCACTGTCCAAGTCATACCATCTTTGCTTAGCAACACCAAACACCCTTTCCCATCCTCCGCAAGTGCAAGAAGGAACGCCCCCTCCCCCGCTACACACACACACACAGCCCCCATCCTCTCCCTCTCCTCAGGCTTGGGAGTTGTTACTGAATTGGCTCCCTAGCCCCAGCACCCCCCTTCCCCCCTCCACTAGCCGCCTTCTGCCTGAACTTACATTATCCTTCCCTTGCTGGTGAGACCCTGGGGTGCGAACGCGGCCGCCGCCTTGGAAACGGCGAGGGAGTGCGGGTGGTGTGTGCATGTCTGCGTCTCGGTGGCAGGCAGGGGTGAGCCCAGCCACTCACCTTCCAGGAAGCGTGGATTCCTGGAAGTGAGGGGAACCGCCGTCATTTCGCAGGCAGCGGCAGCGGCACGGTGAGCAGGGGCCCACGGCTGCAGCCAGCAAGAACAGCTCAGCCCAGGGTGTATGTGTTTTCAGTGTGTGTGTGTGTGTGTGTGTGAGAGAGAGAGAGAGAGAGAGAAAGAGAGAGAGAGAGAAGGAGAGAGAGGGAGGGAGAGAGAGAGAGGAAGAAACAGAACGCTTGGATTTGCTTGGGGAGGGGGCCAGAGAGAATGTGTATGTGTATATAGTAGGGGGATTGTCAGGCTACATCCCTTTTCCAAGACAGTGAAGTGGGTGGAGGTGTGGACAGGGAGGGAGAGGCAGATACCGGTGCCCTCGTGCCCAGCAGACAAAGAAGAACTGCACAACAAATGCCTGAGAGAGGCAAGAGTGTGTGTGAGTGTGTGTGTGTGTGTGTGTGTGAGAGAGAGAGAGAGAGAGATGGATGGGCCTGCGGGTGGGAGGGAGAAAGGGGGGCCCCAGGGAAGGCCCAATCCTCTGCCAGCTGGGGAAGCCAAGGCCCCAGAGGTCATGGGGCCCAGGACATGGGCAGCTTCAAGGCTCTCAGATCCAGAAAGCCCCTCCCCACCAAACTCAGCCACTCTTTCCCTCCACCTCCAGAAGGGAGGTTGCTCTCTAGATCTGGGGACTGACAGCCCCCTCCTTCCCAGCATGAGAGGGCCCAACACAGTGCAGTGTCAGGCTAGTGTTGCTCTATGGCCCTGAATTCTTTCAGATCTCAGGCAAAAAGGCTGGTACATCTCACTACCTGCCCTCCCTCCTCTGCCCCAGGGGCCGGCAGCAGACAGCCTGGATGAATCTGCCCTCTATCAGGACAAGGCCTCTGCTCCCTTCCCTGTCAGAGGAGCTGCTCACTGACAAACTGACCTACTTTGGAAGACTACATTTTCTGATTCTAAGAATTTGGGAGTGGGAGGGGCTGTGAAACTTTGGGCTGCTTACCCCTAGATGTGTTTCTACTAAGATTCCCTTAAAGATTTCACAGCCTCAGAAAACTTGGGGCAAGCACTACACTCAATTAATTGCATAGGCTTAGTTTGAGCAAGTCAGTTTCCCTTGAAAGATAGGAGAACAGGGAGGGGGATCTGTGTAGTAAGTTATCTTCTTCTTATCTCCCTGCCTTCCCTGTCCAGGGAGGGAATGATCTGTACCTTTAGGAGAAGAAAAGGGGAGGGAGAAAAGACAGATTTTCTGAATCAGGTTCTGTGAGGTGTTAAAATATCTCCCAGGAACAGAAGAGATACTCCCTTTATCAAGTGGCCAGGTAAGGGAAGTTCCCCTGGAGAGGCAGCAGAAGAGCTTGAAAACCTGTGAAGGCCCATGGTGTGCTTTGGGAGGGCTGTTCCCGGCAGCTCTTCTCTGTTTCCATATAGCCCAAGAGAGATGGGTCTGTGAGGAGCTCTCAGATGCCTCCGACTGTCTCA